TAAATGTACATGCTGATTCAAAATTTATATATAAGTGCAAACGAATTTTTACATTTGAGTTTTGGGTTAGTACTGTCTTTTTCAGACAGGGTCTTTCTATGTAGCCCAAGCTAGCCCTGAGATATACTCGTACCTCAGCTCCCAGCACTAGGACTTGCATGTACGTGTTACCACACCTGCTCAAAGGGCTTTAAATAGTTAAAAAAAAAAAACTAGAGAGAGAAAAAAAAACCTGTAGGGGACAACACACATTATTGATTTCAAGATTAGTAATCAAACCTGTACGGTCATGAAAATCATAGGCAAACTGATCATAGAATATCAGAGAGCCCAGAAAAGGCCTCATTCACTTGTAAGAACTTGGCTCTCAATAAAGCCATCTAGACAATATAGTGAAGAAAGCAAACGCTGTGGTAATAAGCTCATCCATCGCTGCTTTTCTATTGTTGCAGTAAAACACCATGGCCATCGAGAGCAGCTTCCAGAGGGAACGGCTTCTGACATGAGCTGACTGGGGCTTATGAGTCCAGAGGGGTGAGAGTCCAGCACATCATTGGGAAGGAGCAGGCACATGCGGGCCTATGGCTGGGGCAGCAATTTACGTCTCAAACCACAGCAAGCATCAGAAGAAAGTGAACTGGGAACAGCTTGAGGACTTGGAACCTCAAAGCAAGCCCCTAGAGACACTTCTTTCAGCAAGACCATACCTCCTAAACCTCTCTAAACAAGGCAACCTGTTGGGGACCAAGTATTCAAACACATGAGCATATGGAGGACGTTCAAACATCACAAACATCTAAGAGGAGATCTCTACTTGGGGCTGTCAATAGTTTATTAGAGAAGATAATACAGACAGAAAGAAAGGATGGAGGGAAGGAGGGAGGAAGGGAGGGAGGGAGGGAGGGACTATCTCAAAATGTTAAAATCTGGTCCTCAAAAGACATCATTATCCATGGACTGGAGGAAAAGTCTACACTTGATAAAGAACTTATTGTTGTGATATAAAGAACATCATCAACAATTCAATAATAAAGACACAAACAGCCCAATAAACAGCAGGCACAAAAGTTTGAGCCGACACAAGGTAATATACATGGACTTCCCGTACACACACAAAGTGCTCAGCAGCACTGAACTCCAGACCAATCAAACTTTAAAACCACAAATTCAAACCACAAGTGAGATGGTCTGATGTTAAAAAGACTTCGCCAAACATTGGCAGAAACCTTTGGTCGGTGGGACTGTAGGCTAATATGTTAGATCACAGATCCTCTGGCTGCCTCTCCCCCAGACAGGCCACAAATCCCTGCAGCCTTCTCCAGACAGAGCATTGATCAACAAGTCGACTACAGCCTTGCAGTTTCCTTGTCCATTGAAGCTGCAAGCTCAGCATGCATGTTAACACACACACGATACATACAATACACACACATGTACAACACATAACACACCATACACATACACTCACACCACACATAAACTCATACACATGAACACGCACACACACATACATTGACAGCACATGCATATACTCACAACACACACACATACAACACACACATACATTCACACTGCACACACACACACACACACACACACACAGGCCCAAGGAAAGCTCCAATCATAACAAGCTGTGACTCCTGTCTCCTGAGGAAGATCTCTCCAGAAGACTTGCTCTTCCCTTCAGGGCCTACAAGGGCTGTAGGTTAACAGATGTTGCAACTCCCCAGGCAAAGCCAGTCTCCAGGAGTTTGGTTCCAGCTCCTTCTGTGCACCTGTGGTGCCCTTTTATCTAGCAGGGCCGGCATTAGAGACAGGTGTCTGCAGTAGCAGCGCCTACCGGAGTCTGCCCAGACCCAGCTACAAGCCTCTACGTACTTCTGCTCCTGGAAACTACAACAGCCCCAAGCAGAACCCTCTCGTATGGCCATAAACAAAGAATCATAAGCACACGATGGCATGCCTGCAAGTAAAATGAACAGACCTCCAGTCTACAGTAAATACGGGCCTTACCCACATGTCAGCAGAGGACGCCAACCACACGAGACTACACACACATGTCTCATTTACAAGAAGTTTAACAGTGGCAAATGACTCCACACTGATAGGTAACAGAACAAGGGTCACCCATGGTACATGCTGAAGGTGAACTGGAAGAGAGTGCCAGGGACCATCTACCTTCAGTGGGGCCTGAGGGGGACACTGTTCAAACCCAAAGTGCAGCTTTGAGATTTGTGCCCTCCAGTGTTTGACATTCTACTTCAGCATCTGAAAACATTTGTCAAGGCCCTCCCACACTCAAGGTGGGACTTACCGCTCTGTGTAAGATATTTCAGAGACTGCTCAGTTTCCAAGACAAACAGCGTTCCCCGTGCTTCCGTGCACTTCACCTCCTCGGGCTCCTAGGAAATGATGGAGTACAAGCTGCTTCACGGGTGACAAACAAGTGCACGAGCTGGTGGAGCAGAAGTGGCCTTTCCCGTACTGCTGAAGAAGTTTCGCCAGCACCGCGACTAGCGAGAATAAATAAGAACGTTTACGGCTTTATGTTGAGTGACCAAAGCACACAAGGCCCTGCGTTATGCTACCTTACTCGGCTCTTTCACTAGCGACAGCACATCCAGCTTGCAAGATCCAGCTAAATTTACCGAGAAAATACAAGCGGGCTCTTAATTGCTCTCTATTCAAAGCTAAATTACATAATAAAATTATAGTTAAAAGATCATATTAAAAACCAACTTAGAAATCCCCATTATCGCTTCCTAATTGCATATTTTGTTATCTGGACCCTCACTGTTACTAACCTAGAATATCTTTGTGGTCATCATGGTGCGTGAGCTGCTCTTCTGATCCCTAAGCCAAAACACTGGACAGAAGCAACCCCTGCAGGGAAGGATTTACTTCAAGTCACAGTTTAGGGGGTTTGGTGCATCACCACTGGGGTGACACGGTGGCAACCTCATCCATGGTTGCAGGAATGTGTAGCAGAGATGCTTCACATGGTGGCAGACAGAAGGCAGAGAAAAGGTAAGTGGAACCAGAGATGGGAGTATCCTTCCTAGCCCGAGAGCAACTTCCATGAGCCAGGCCCTATCTCTGAAAGGTCCGACAGCCCTCAAGACAGCATCAGAAAGCTGGAGACTTAGCATCCAGACTGTGAACCTGTGGAGGGAGCTCCAGATGAAGCCACGACGTCACTGTTCTCTTGCATGCTATCGTATGTCACTGCCCAGTTCAATGGCACCACGTTCCTAGTTCAGAGTCAGTCACTAGAGGAGTAAATCAGCCAGCATCACTAATCAGGACCCAATTTATTGTTTAATTGATTGCCTAGGCTTAAAAAAAAGTGAAAAATGCCAGTAATGCCTCTCAAACTGAAGTGTGTGGCATCCGAAGCCATTGTACTCCTAAGAAGGGCAAGGCATTCAGAAAGTGTTTTCCTGATATTCAAAACCCTTTCCTCAGTTGAACAAGAACCCTCTTACACCACTGAAAACTGGCAGTTTTGGCATATGATTGAGTTGTTTCCCTTTCTGTTAGCCTCACTTATGAAAGTGAAACACCAACAAACTTGACTTCAGAACTGTACCCATTCATCAGCTGCCCCCACGGCCTGTCTGTGGGCAGAAAAGTGGCAGAAGCCAGTAAACATCTTGGGAGAATCAGTTGACTGTATGGAACGTACAAGCGTCAGACAGGATGTGTTTGTAAATTACTGATTTTGTAGAATGCGCTACAATATGTTCTCGCCAAGTCAGCTGTTGTACATTCTCATATTACTGTCTCTATTTCAACACCAACATGTCATAACACAGATTGCTACATGTGTTTCACACAGTGAGGCAGAAGCTCAGAAAAGTGTGTGTGTGTGTGTGTGTGTGTGTGTAAAACACATGGACTTTTACCCATCACAGCTCCAGCGAACCTCACCAACATACAGCTCCCAGCACTCTGACATTCCACACACTGGTACAAGCCTCCTAGAAAGCACAGTGGTCAATGACTCTCATATGCCTGATTCATAGCTGGGGGGACAGAAGCCGGAGAAAGCGAGCGTGCTGTTCAAAGCCTATGTCTGACCAGGGGCATGGGTGGCACGTGTTCTCATGTGAGCTTCATCTCAGCCGCAGGGGACACTGAGAGGACCTCACTGGCCTTGTTCCACCACACACACCCACAGTTCCTAAGCATCCAGAAAGCCTGACATAAAGGAATAGCAACAAATGTTGTTCCAGGTAAGACATATGACTCACTGCCTACACCTGGCTTAGCATGGAATATTGTATTATTTACGCCAAGTCACATGAATCCCTTCCAAGCCCTCTTCTTGCAGTTCTGGTCAGAAAAGTAGTCTCAACTGTCCTTAGCTCCCCAAGAGCTGGGTAGAAGCCTTGAGGATCTGGCAATGGGAAGAGGGAGCCCTCACGTTGTCCCATTGTGGTGACCATACAGCTTCATAGTGGGTCTCTGAATGGAGCAGTTATCAGAGGACACCATTCATGAGCCACCAGATAACCAGGGCAGTAGAGCACTCCCCAGTACATGGTCAAAGGCAGGCACAAATGTTACCACACAGTATTAACACCGATGTGTGCACTTTGGCAATTACTCACATTGGTACAGACCCCACACACTTCAACAATCAGACAGTGGCAGAGCCATACCCCGCCCCCCTCACACACACACACACACTCAACCAGAAGTACAGATGCACTGGCCACCTACCCGCTGTCAGAGGTTCAGATATCTAGATATCTGCCGAGGTATCCAACAGGCAAGCACGCAGGCTCAAAGCCATGCACATAGGCTCAAACACTCATTAGACACACAGCGCCACCCTCAGCCCAGAGAGTGAGTGAGATACACACTCCCACATAGGCAGGCAGTGTTTGCTGCTACTCAGCAGGAGGACACACACACACATAGGTTCACACCCCGACACCCAGCCACACACTCACAATACCCCACCATCCAACAACACCCCCCCCACACACACACACACATAACAGCAGGCTATAAGTTTAGAGGCAGGCAGTGGGCTCCCACACTGCTCACTCAACTTGGCCACCACCAGCAGCAGCACCCAGCCTGCAAGTGCCTGCAGAGATGCCACTCGGCCAATGGCCGCAGCCTCCTGAGCGCTTTCCACCAACAGCCATCTCCATGAAAAGACGCACGTAGACTGGGGCGGAGCCGGTAGTGAGAAGGGCAGAAGATGAAATCATAATCCTGCCGGGTTTGTTCATTTCGGTGATAATTAGCGGTGCATTCACGCCGCCTCACCGGCCGCTCCCGGCTGATCCCGCGTGATGGATGCCTGGTGGTGCTGAATGCAAATTAGCATAATTTCATTACCGAGGGACCCGTGAAAAGGTTCAATTATAGAGCAATCTCATTAATACCAGGGCTTGTTAAACTAATAGAAAGAGACAGGCCCCGCAGCTCAGAGAGGAGACACGTGCTCCGAATGCAATTCCGTGAAGCCCCAGTACCTGGCCACGCCCGCACCCTCCCTTCCCCCACTGACCTGCAGTCTTGGAGCTGGGATCCTGGCCTTCAAGACCCAGAGTCTCCAGAGGGCACAGGTACAAATGGCACAGAGTCTGGGCCGATTGGGCCTCAGTTAATCGGCTAGATCAAGGCCACAGCAGCAGTCCTGGGCCCACAGTGTCGAAGCAATTTGTCCAAGGTGTGTGGCACTGAGGCCACAGAGTCATGGGGCCCACAGGTGGGAGAAGGGGATGCCCACTTCTGTCAAGGATTGGCCTTATAACATGAGGTAACCTCTCTGGAGCCTTTCAGCTGTGACTCGGTTTCTCCATGATTATCGGCTTTGTTAGCCACCAAGTCCCGGAGACCCAGCTCTGGAGGGACAGCAGACTGGAGGTCATGGTCCATGTGAGTAAAAAGAAACTCCACACACTCCACTTTCTGGCCACCACCATGGTAGTCTAGCTGGAGAGCAGCCCCACAGCGGACTGCACTCCTGGGCCACGGCTGGCTCTCCGAGAAAGCTACTGCCTCTGCCTTTCCCATGGATTTTCTTACATGGTTCACCCTCTTCTTATGTGGCCTTGGCAAAAGTGGGCCAAGATTGGCCCAACCTCCACATCCAGAAGCCCTTGGCAATGACCTCAGGCCTGCGCTCTTCCCACCAGCCTAGGACAGGCACAGGTTGCTTGTATGACTTTGCTGTATTTTATTTTGTCACCTCTGTAATATCTGATTTTTTTTTTCAGCAATTGTAAGTAAAACAGAACAAGTCCCCAAATGCCCTAAGTGGGAGAATGAGTCACACCGTTGTGTGACTGCACACATAAAAATATGCGGTGACTCAGAGGGCCCAGCAGAAGAGACCAGCCCACAAAGGGCCTCATTGTTCAGACTTTCAAGGTATAGGGGAGGGCGCTGAGTGTCTGCCGACTGCCAGGCTGCCTGGATTGCGGCTGTTGACACCAGTGTGGGTGTGTGATGGCTCCGCATGTGCTGTGCCTCCCCCTCTGTTTGTTTTGCTGTTTTGCTTTGACACAGGGTTGCGTATAGCCCAGGCCGTTCTCCAACTGACTTATGTAGCCAAAGATGGCTCTGATCATCCGGCCCCTACTTTCTAAGTCCTGGGTCTACAGATAGACCCATACCACCATATCCTGATTACTTTCCTCTTCTTACAATAACAGGGGGAAGACAGATGATAGTATGGGGGTAGACCAGCAGCTACAAGCCATTGCTATTTTCAAATGGCGGTGGGAGAAGAGAGGGGTACCTCAGAAACAGCTAGCCCCTGGGATTCCAGAAGCCACACAACAGACAGGAAAGCTGGTCTATTCACACAGACCTGAGATCTCAGCACCCAGGTTGCTGAAGCAGGAGGATCTTCATGAGTTGGAGATGAGCCTGAGCTATACAGTGAAATGCTGGGTGGGGGTGGGGAGCAAGTTATGGATGGGTATTGCAAGGCATGGCAATGCCTGAGATAGGTACAGAACCTCAGAGAAGGGACAGTAATGGGATAAGAGTTCCCTGGGCCTATGACCCTGCTAGCTGGCTGGTCCCTAGGGAGACCTGTGGAACTGTGGGACAGGTCTAGAAAAGAGTTTTTTACCCGGAAGGGCTCAGAGCTGCAGGAGATGCTTCCATCAACCTCTGAGTTAGAACTAATCCTCAAAGGCCCCGAAAACACTAGTAGAGGTGTCTGGCCAGGGTGGGAGCCAGAGCTATGTTTCCATTGATCACAGCACGAAGCTAACAGTCACCCACCACCCAAAGTGATAAATTGGGAAGTCCTGGCAGTAGACAGGCATTACTGAGAGTGGAGGGTGGTTAGGAGATGTTGGGCTAAAGTGAACCCCAGGCCCCTGGGGAGCAGCCCTGAGTGGCAGTGGGAGTCACATAGAGTCCTTCTTCTTAAAAAAAAAAAAAAAAGCTTTCTATCAAAGAGCCTTCGTTTATGCACCTGACCAAGCAACTAACCCACCCAGCCCTGTCACCCAGAATGGTTTTAGTCATCCCTTATCTGACCTCAGCAAAAATGGGCCAGGATGAGGACTGAGAGAGTGGTGGGGTGATTGTGTCTGTGTGTGTGTGTGCACCTTCACACGTGTGCATGCACCCCGCCATCACTACTCTACTGCAAAACAAGGGCCTCGTCTCCCATCCCTTGAGCCAAGTCTTTGTCACAGCCAGCCCTTCCCTCCTGACAGGCAAGGTTTTGTGAGTAGGTTTACTAACAGTCGCTTACAAAGGGCTCAGATCCCAGTTGACCTCAGCCACTTCCTAACTGTGCAGCTTGAACGAATCACCTAACTTCTCTGTGCCTGCTTTTCTCTTCTTTAAAATAAACAGGCCAGTGGGGGCTGGGCTTGCTTTTAGGGTGCTTCAGGTGGGGTTGTTGGTCCTCAAGCTCCCTGGCCTGACAATGCACCCACTCTGTCCCCTCAGCCCCTCTCAGATTCTGTGGCCACCAGAAGGAAGCACATGAAGAGCTTGCACCAAAGCGAAGGATCAGGACGCGGACAAACACTGGATTAGGAAAAGGAAGGGCCAGAAACCGTGGGCCACGCAGGAGAGGCACCAAATGTGGCCTAGGGCCGTCAGGACTCTGAACTGACACTGGCCCAATGCAAAGGAGGTTGACTGCCTCAGGTGAGCGAGAGCCCTGCACCACTTCCCATCATGGGTAGACACAGACGGTCCAGCGACCACTCCGTCCTGTTGTTCTCTGGTCTGAATCCCACCAATCGCAAGCAGGCGGCTTGGTCAACTTACCGGAAAGATGGCATCTGTGGTCTCTGCGCCAGCTACTTTTCCTGTTGATATGAACAAACACCTGGGAAGAAGTTATCAGCCTGAGGAAGGGTTGATTTCGGCTTACAGGTCTGGGGTACAAGCTGCCCTGGTGGAGAAAGCAGAAGGGTCAGCATGAGCTGCTTGGTCACGTGATGTTCGAAGTAAAAAAAGCAAACAGAAAGAAGGACCACGCTATAAAACCTCAAGGCTCTCACCATGAGCCATTCACTGCCTCCACAGAAGCTTAACCTTCTATAGCTTTCCCAAACAGCACCACCAATCGGGGTCCAAGTGTCCAAACACAGGAGTCTCTGGGGGACAGTTCACAATCTAACCACATGCCTCACAACCTCTGGTTTCAGAAGCTCCCCCATCCTAGCAAGACCCATAAGGGAAGTCCTTCAATCACCTGTGTGTTTCTGACCAATCACATTAGGCAGCCCTTCAATCACATGTGCGCTTCTGACCAATCACAATAGGCAGTCCTTCAATCACATGTGCGCTTCTGACCAATCACATTAGGCAGCCCTTCAATCACATGTGCGCTTCTGACCAATCACCGTTTCTAGACAGCTAGCAGCTTCTTGATTAACCCCCTGGGGTCACATGGTCTGCCATACACGTACAGGCAAGTCTTCAGACAATATACCTCAACGTATATTGTCTCCCAAGAAAGAGAGGGAGCCCACAAGGAACATGCAGCTGAAAGTCACTTCCTGAGCCAGGTTCTTAAGCTGGGAGAGAATTTAGAGAGAGAAGGCGGGACCAGCCATGGCTGGGCCACTGGGTCCCAGCCCCAGGGGGTTTGACAGCTCCTGGCGTGTGAACTGCAGTTAGAAGGTAAGGTACAACCAGGATGAGGGCCATGGCAGGAGCACACGGGGTACAGAAAACAGAAGTCCGGGTGAAACTTACCGAGAAGTAATGGGATCCACATCTAAAGCAGACCGAAGATTTTCTGGACCCCCGAGGGACAGAGGGACATGTACAGAGATATAAGCTTAGTTGAAAATTTTAACTTTAGACCTTCCAGGGGTCAATCTCGGTTGCTCTCTCCTACCCTGAAACTACCCCTCCGGAACAGGAAAGCACATCGGGGCCAACCCTGCTCTTACACCTGCGATGGCTCCCCAGTGCCCCGGCAGGACATCGTCTGTTCCAGTTTAGCTTCATGGCCTCCACTGTGTCTCCTCATGCCCACCACTTTTCCCCCAGCCTTCATGCGGAGCGCCTGCCCAGCCCAGGAGACCTTCAATTCGGCCAGTCCTCCACACAGAGCCCCAGTCACAACCACAGCCACAGACGGGGCCACCCTCCAAAGCCTCATCGAGGTATATAGACAATGGGGGCTTATCCCTGCCCCGTCCGACCCTCTGCGTGTTCACTTCCCCTGACCTTCCTACTCTCCTTTTTCAGAGATCTGTCCCCAAGCCAGGCTGTCTACCGCCCCTCCCCCCCACATCAGCACAAGTGACTACTGTACACACAACAGGATGCTTACGGAGATTGCAGATGAGACCCCGAAGACAAATGTTTAGAAAAGAATTGCACCAATGGCCTCACTGTCGCTACCGCCACCTTCTGGCAGGGGTGGCAGGTTGGCTATTTCTAAGTATTTTCAGTTCCCTGGGCTCCATTAGCTGGGGGAGCTGGAGTCTGCTCCCCCGAGTCTCTCTTCCCACCGAAGGAAGGACGTCGTGTGACTTCACAGGGCACAGGAGAGTACTGCCTCTGCTGGCCCCACCGGCTTCCCTCCCGAGGAGTCCAGCTGCCGTGCTGCAAAGGAGCCAAACAGGAAGAAAGACCATAGGTGTTCCAGTAACTGTCCCCAGCCGAGGCTCAGGCACATGCTGGAGCAAGAGATGAGTCTGGGCCCACACAGGACAACACCTACTCCATTTCCTCACCTCGGTTCTTAGATCCGAGGTTCCCTTGTACCGCCGGGCAGAAGGGGTTCCTCGGGGGTCTGGCCCTTAAGAGAGCAGTAGGAGTGATCCAGGTGACCCAGCCTCACATTTTACCACAGCTTGTGAATCCTGCGATGTAAACAAAAACATTAAAACCTACGCTGTCACGTTGGCATACCACCACTCTCGCCATAAGGGCCATTATCAGAAAGCAGCAAGGGTGAAATCAGAGCCCTGTGTGTTGCCAGGAAACGCTTGCTTAACTACTATGGAAAACACCGTCTAGGTTCCAGATCGCATTACCATAAGGAGCCAACAATTCTTCCTCTGGGTTCAAACCCCAAAGAACTCAGAGTGGGGACCTGCGCACAGCTGCAGTAAGCACAGTGGCCACAAGGTGGAAGCCACTCCAGTGTCCATGATCACTGAGTGGACTTTTAAAATGGGGCCAGCAACGCAATTGAATGGTACTCAGCCTTTAAGAAGAATAAAGCTGGACATGTATAAGTTAAAGAATCCAGGAGCAGAAGAACAAACACAGCCCTGTTCTACTTCTACCAGGTTTCAAGCTGTGGTTGCTGAGGCTGAGGATGGGCAGTGGTACCAGAGGCCTGCCTGCCCTCTACCCCGTGTCTGGGGCAAGTGCCTTAGAGTTAGCAGAGCACCTTGCCGCAGGAAGCATTTGTGTTCCTTGGAGAGGCAGCTCTTTCCAACCAGCCCTTGCTGAGTGGCCCTGCATTCCTCTCCCTACCAACAGGTTTGTGTGCCACGCAAGCAGGTTTCTGAGGCCAAGCAGATCCCTCCCCCTTCCTCTCTCACTAAATGCCCAGCGGTTATAAGCATGGACTGCCCTGCGCAGGAGTGAATACTGAGCCAGCTCTGCCCTGCACCTGCTGTGCCAGCTAGGGAATGTTATTTATGCTCTCTGCACCTGGTTAGTTTCTGTTTTATAAACAAAAATCCACTTCAGAAAGTGCGCTGGTGAATCAGGAACATGATACAAACGTGTTCCAGCAGCAGACACTGGCAAACACTAGGAAGGTCCAAGAAAGCAAGATGGCGGGCACTACTAAACACGTGGTTGTGCAGCCAGCCACCTCCTTCTGGTAAAATCATTCCTTCCTGAGCTGAGAAGGGAGGTTGAGTCTCAGCTACCGAGTTTATAGAACTCAGGAATAAATCTCACAAGATGGGGAAGCTTACAAAGTTCCAAAGCTTTTCCACAAAACTATATAAGCAGGGTTCTGTTGCTGGGAGAGAGGGATTCTCCAATGGAACTGCATGCCATCCTTACAGGGATGTCATCCTTACAGGGAACTCCAGGGTCTGGGCTTTCATGAATTCACACTAGGGTTGGCTTTCCAGGCCAATCTGCTTCTGAATCACCCACACTCTTGTAAGTCACCCTTCACCTGTGCTCCTGGCTTGGGTGTACTTCTTTCGCTGGCAGATTGCCAGAGCTCTATCTGGAGTACATACATGTTTGCTCACATTTCCCCAAGAAAACCCACACAAATAGGTAGGGAAGTGTTACTAGGAAGTTGAACATGACTAAACGTGTCTATAGGAGAACCAACTGAAAACATCAATAAAAATAAAACAGCAATCAAATGTAAATCATGCCCACGGGAATAACAGTTGAATATTGTTTTTATCCCTCAGACTGGTAAAAATTATAATGTCCAACAAGAAGATGGGAAAACGGCTGGTCTTGCTCTAAATGTTGTGACCTTGGAAGTATTTCATATTTATGTGATTTGAATTGACACCATCTCCCAGAAACATATCTAGTGAAGAGAAGCCATGCACCGGTGTTTGTCAGATGCTTATTCGTGATGATGAACTACTGACTTTGATCAGGAGATACCTATGGAGCTGTGCAGTTGCTAAACAAATCCTGCCAAGGCCAGGGAATGCTGAGCAAATTTTCTGCATCCGAGACTGCAGATCATCCCTGGAAGCAGGCTGGGGATGAGGGATGCAGTTAAGTCGACTTCAGAACATCCTAACTCTCTGCAGCACTTCACAAGAGGGTTCTGATGTGGAACAGGGATCCTCGTGACAAGGTGCAAAAACAAGACTGGCATGCTTGACACAGTCGCAGTGGTGCCCACCCCTTCCACATGCCACTTCTTACCCCTCAACACGCTAGAAGACAGTTTGAGTATTGTCTCCTCCACACTAAAATTGTAGCTGTAGGTGACTGAAATTTGTGCCTAGTGCAAAGCCAGGTCCATATAAGCCATCCAATTAAACCCACTGAATGAATAGATGGATTCAATTGATGGATGGATAGATGGATGTTGGATGGATGGATGGATGGATGACGGATGGATGGAGGATGGATGGATAGATGGATAGATGACGGATGGATGGATGATGGATGGATGGATGGATGGATAGATGGATGGAGGAATGAATGAATGAATAAATGACCTTTCCACATAATTCAAAGTGGAACTAAAACCAAGAAAGACACCCACAGTGAGCTGAACAGAGCCCTGCCCTCTGAGCATCATTTCTCTCCTCATCTCCCCTCTGCCTTCCACAGGCTCCACCTGGCAAAACCTCATGTAGCCCCCAATCTTTCTAGAACCTTCTTCTGACCATCTGTGATTCATTTAGCAGTCATCAAGCATACCCTCTAGACCAGTCCTTGTGCAGGAGGGACACAGGCCCTAAACCCAGAGTGCTCACTTATACAATGGACACAGACAGTCCATTCCCAAGGTGTACTTTACTTTGAACTTAACAGGGGATCTGGGGGCCACCTTCTACTGGAATAAATGACAGCAACCACTGAAGTAGTCATGGACAAAGGTGGGCAAGAGCCTCCTGCCTCACCCATCTGGGGAGGGAGCAGCATGGATATCCCGGGTCTTCATTGTCCATTTATCCAGTTAGGAAAATGTCGTGGAAAGTTGCAAAGTCTGTGTCCCCACAGCAAAATGTCCCTATGCTGGTGTAATAAGGAGAAAGGCAGCAGGTGAAGGGAAATGGGAGGAAGTGCATCAGGACCCCAGAGAAGAGCAAGGAAAAGCAAATAACAAGGCTGCTTCTGCAATGGCTCCAAGGCAAGACTCAGAGCCCACATTCACAGGGGGACACAAATGACAAAGACAACTTCCAACCAGAAAGGACCAATTGAAGCTAGGTTATTTAGTGACTGTGATGACTGTGTTCTATCACCTTGATATAAACCTAGACATATCTAAGAATAAGGAATCTTAACTAAGAAAATGTCTCTACTTTCCACGAGCAAGCCAACAGGGCATTTCCTTGATTGATGTGGAAGGGGCAAGCCCATAGTGAGTGGGGCCATCTCTGGGCTGGGGTCCAGGGTTCTATAAGAAGGCAGGCTGGGAAAGCCATGATGAGCAGGCCAGTTAGCAGCACCCCTCCATGGCCTCTGTATCAGTTCCTGCCTCCAGGTTCCTGCCCTGTTTGAGTTCCTGTCCTGACTTCCTTCAGTGATGGACTGTGATACAGAACTATCAGCCAAATAAACCCTTCCCTCCTCCAGGTGCTTTTGGCCATGTGTTAATGACAGCAGCA